GAGCTTTAATATCTTACCAGGGACATGGTGTTCAGGATAGTCAGGATAGTAAGGATGTTCAAATCTCCAACTTGAGATCTTTTGATCTTCAACACATGTAATATATTTCATATGTAATTTTGGGAAACGAGGAGAAGATAATCTCTCCTCGAAATAGTTTCAGATGGGTATATAGCATCACTGCTGGAGAGGAGTTGAGGAGCAGAGATTTCATCAATACAAGTTAACTTTACATTTTTCATTTGACCCTCAGTGTCTAATAGATACAGCCAGCAAAGACGAATTCTTCACCTTCCAATGGTGTCGGTCTAATCGCTCAGCATGCTCTGCGTATTTGGGATAGCCAAGAAGAATCGCATCCGAATCGAAGTCGAAAGCAACTTCAAGCACATCTCCACATGACGACTTCTAAATCATGCAGTACTCACCATTATCATCTAAGTCCCCAACCTCTTTCTAAACACATGCCATCTTGCCTCAACGACTGATAAAAGCGTCACCACAATTGCAAACAGGAGCTTGCCTTATTCATCACCGGCCATCACCCACGACAAATTTGCAACCCTAAGTATACTCGCAAGGAGAAGATTGAGTCATAATATACAAAGCTCGCGTCATAGTTTATGTGGGACTGTTGCTCTAATAGGACTATACATCTTGAGCAAGTACAGGCAGCCGAGGTGTAAAGCAAGATGAGGAATAGGTCTCTGAAGAGCATGCTGGGACTGACATTTTCGAGGAGTTTTCAACTTGAATTTTTTGTGGACGCCAAGACCAAGATTTCGGCTAATTAGCCAGGAGGGCTTCTTTTGTCGATGAGTCAACGGCACTCCCCAGCGTCCTGGACGGTACAAAAGAAGTCGGGCTAAGCTACCGTACAGTAAACACGCTCTGTCAAGACTTTTCTGACATTTCAGCACGACCTTCGGAAAGGAGTTGGAAGAAGGCTAGTAAGGCAGAGCGTGAATTTCAAGAGGTACCCACAAGTCTGCAGCGCCCAGCTGGCCGGCCTCTTTGAACGCATCAGAAGGGTCACTATGTCTTCGGATTTAGTCCTAATGTCGGTATTAGGAGAGCTCCGCACCCAGTGGTTTTTGCAATTTTCCCCGGCTACCATACACCCGCAAATGGCTATTGTTTTGTTGGCTGGAGAAGGGAGATCATGCAGGGTAAAAGGCTCTTCAAATTGCATAGTCGAATGAGGACATGTGAGGGGTGGTACTGTTTGAGGGGAGCTGTATGGGAAGCATAGGAGGGGATATACTACTGGTATAAGTATCCTTGGCCTATAGGTAGAGAGGACCTGCATGTCCTACATGGTCATAGACTCAGACAGGACAATAAAATGAAATAATAATAAAATATAGAAATTTGTTAGAAGTAAGATTATTTATTTAGAATATTTAGAATAATTAACGTCATGCCCGCGCACAGCACGTGAGCTCCTCACGTATCAGTTAGCCCAGTCTAAATTAAACTACTCGACATGTTGGCGCCTACATAGACCCAACAAAGCAAATGATAGCCAGGATCTTATCATCCTGCGCTTGAGTATAGTTTATATGGAGGTCGCCTGTCCAACCAAATCCCATGCTATGCAGCTGGTACTAAATCAAGAAATTATTTTACATCAAATCGTGATTTCGTTCGAATTAGACTTGTCCTTGTACCCTTTCGAAGAAACTTTCAATACGCAACCAGTTATTGAATCCATTAACTCCCTCTTCCGAAGCAAGAGCCCAAGATACGCTAGGGTTAGAATGTGCCCTGCGGAGCTGAGCCTAGTACTGCCCGAGGTGGCAAAAGAAAAAGTGGTCGGGGGACTTCTCTTCTCTGAATGTGCAGGTTAGAATGGCGTTTTCGTGCTGAAACCGTCGGTGGTAGTCCGCGAAGTCGTCGCGACCGGACCTTGCAGTTAGTAGATGTCCTAGTGTGCGTCGCCCCAGACGGGCGAGATTGATGGTGAATTTAGTATTAGGGCCAATATCTAGTTCTTTGTGTCTATAAGGTGCACTTTTTGCCCAATAGAGTGTTAAGGAAGCCTCATACTGAGCTTTGACTTCTCTTCTTGCCCTCGCAATCGAGAATTCTGAGCGTGGAGCTGGAGCTGCATGGGCAGCTTTAGCGAGAGCGTCGGCAACTTCGTTTCAAAAAATACCTGCGTGGCCTCGGCACCATCGGATAGCCACTTTCCCAGGCGTCGTATTTTGACCGCGGAATCTTCTTTTTCAGTTCATTGCGAGCTTGCGAAAGATTGATATTTTCGCCGAGCTGAACTCTGTGGGTGTATCCAAGAGCAGACGGATGGCAGCCTCCTAGTTGTCAAGGTAGACAGTGACGTTAAAGGCATAATAGGCCAGTGGATTGTGAAGAGCTACGGCAAGACCTTCAGTGGCACCGGTAATTTCTGCATCATAGACTTCCGCCGGGTTTCCGAGCGGGAGTGATCCTCGCCATATCTCCCTATGTAAGACCTCGGTAAATGACATAACCCGCACCTGCTCGGTCTTCTATGAGAGCGCCATCTGAAAATACGAATAGGTCTAAGATTGGTTGTTTAGCCTGCCACTGTTTGAAGGAATTTGGTCCAAGGAGTCTACCTACCGCCCCAATTTTGATTAGCTTTTCATCACAGGGTGCCGACCATGGTGGGGGTATGGTGTCATCGGAAAGTTCTAATAGGATCCTTTAGTGGATCCAGCGCATACGACTAGTATTCCAACGTCTACGGAGAGGGTGACACAGGTCAGCTGCCGCAATTCGAACCGCTAGACGACTTTTAACTCGGGAGAGCCACGTCTTGACTGGGCCCCAGCCAGTTTCTCGTAGGAGTGCTGCTATTGGAGTGGTGCGATAGACTCGGAGAACTGCCCGAACCGCGTCGTTCATCCTGTATTGGAGTCGCGAGATGATCTTTTGAGAAGTCTCCTTAGAGTACCAGGTCTCGGTCCCATAGAAGAGGGTTGCAAAGGCGGCACCTCATAGAGCTTGTCTTAGAAAAAGAGGGCCAATTCCTCGTGTGTTCATCGAGGGTTTTTTCAAGTGGCTCGTGATAATTAGCGACTTTCGGCTAGCCTGTAGGGTGCGGTATTGGAATCTTAGTGTACGGTCGAAGAAAATTCCAAGCCAGCGATTGTGATCATTTGGCGTTAAAATTGTCTCACCAATATTTATAGATGGCTCAATTGGTGAGCCTCGCTTCCGGTGAAAGTATTGTAGCTTAGTCCTAGGCAGTTCGAAACTAATTCCGTTAATCAAACCCCATGATATAGTGCTATCTAATTTATCCTTGAGTTTACGTGCACATTCGGCTAAGGAGGGCGCTGACGCGAAAAGGGTAATGTCATCAGCATAGCCAAAGCGATTTGTAGAGAGGCGTAGAGCTTCTTCTATGGCCAAGAGGAATAGGGTTGGGATATTGGCGAGCCCTGTGGGAGACCACAGTGAGTCTGGAAGGGCGGGGAGGTAGAATATTCAATGAAGATTGTGGTTTCCAGATCTTCCATGAAAGATGCTACCCAGCAAGCCATATTCGGTGGCTATCCTTGGATTCGAAGTCTATGGCAGGTGATGTGGGTTATTATTTTTTTTGAATTATTTAACGTCGTGCTAGCTCACAATAACACTAAGGTCTCATGTTGGCCAGCTCAGTCTATATGAACTACCCGACGTGGGTCTAGGTTATTAGATTGATACCTGAGCGTATCTCATAGTAGGCAGACATGTGATTCATGTAGCAAAATGCACGGTAAATCTCAACCCCAAAACGATAATACGAATCAAGTTTTATATGCTAGGTCCCGTGCGTCGAGCGTTGATGTAGAATTGGGGACTTACCTGTAGATAGATAAAGACGTTGTAGCCCTTCTGATAGTTAGGACAAGTCTTCAACCAAATAGTATTGGAATCAATCTTAGCCTCTCATGAAGAAATCCCATGAATTATTTCCAATGTATGTGATAACATGCGTACATATACAAAGTCCACAATAAGTTTAAAGTCGATAACTGAATTTCACGGGGAAATACTGAGCTGAATGGTCTCTCATCATGGGCTACCTATCATTTTTTTTCGAAACGAGAGAGGATAGGAGTACTGTAGTATGAGAAGGCTTGGCCGTAGACGGGCCCGATGTATTAGACACTCACGAATTCAAGTGCTACGACAAAACCGAACCATACCAACCACGTACACGTGACAGTTTCTCGCAACATTTACATGGTACACCAATGCGCTACTGAATCCCTGCCGAATACGACGTGGGTACGGTATCCAGGATTCAGTGCATGGTTGCTAAAGTGATCTGCAGGCTGCGAATCTATATCAGTACGTGTCTAAGGCGGAGCGAATGAATTTGGAGCCGAAGTCCAAGTCGAGGCCTAGAGGCTATGGCACATAATATCATAATCCATAAATTCGACATACCGTGAAAGAGTAGCGACAGAAACATCAAATTCAAAGCCACTGGAGTAGATTGAGTATCCTGTTACAATGACCATTTCGTTTTGCTCCTCATTTGGCGTAAGAGTGATCCAAATAAAAATTTCAGAGTTCAAAAATACCGACAACAGACATATGATCACATAAATTAACGTATCAATTTTGATCAAATCCACTCCGTGCTTTCTGGAGGGGAGGAAACGTGTTCGCTTAATTCACACATACAATACTTAGCGGTCTGCTAGGAGTACGGTTTGCGTATACGGTACTTCCGTGTGTAAAACGTCAAGATTTCACCAGTCGTCTCGAAGTCATTAAAACATAGAACAAGCGCGCTGAAATTTATGTGAACGCTCACTTACAATCGTTGCTAACGTGAATAAAACGCTTTGACCTTTCATCCGAATTAATTCAATTCAACCAGTAGCTAGTCTTCTTGCAATCTCTGTATGACTAGTACAGCATGACAGCTACAATCTTCGATATTTGGGAACTCAGATTCTAGACAGGAAATTGTGCGGCTGCTTCGTGAAAGCCCACAATTTATAATACTCCCATTTTCAGAATTGTATTAGATCCCCATGCCCACCTTTTTCCTGCGATTTCGGTCCAAAGGGATTACTAGGTTGTTGTCCATAGCTATTAGATACATCACTGATTCCTGGTAGAGCGGATGTTTGAGACTGTCCTCTTCCAATTCCGCTTGTGATATTATCTTCGTAATGTACCTGTGGCATAGCCGTAAATTGAGTTTGTAAGAAAGGATTGGTTCCAGTCTTGGACGATGTGAGTCGGTTGAGACCGGCACCAGAACTGTTCACAAAAGTTCCCGGTGCCGTGTGCTGAGAAGGTATTCGCATTTCTCCAGTATTACCAAATGTATCCATCCCATCACCGGATGCAAGTAATGAATTTAACTTTGAATGATGCGAATCAAAATTATTTTGGGTATGAGTGGGAATGGGAGGTGGAGTATAGGTCTTCGGAATGTTAAGTGATGTCGTGTTGCTGTTAAAATTTGATGTATATTTTTCCTGCAACGTGGAGAGTATTGGTCTCGGCGTGTTGGTTGTGGACTGAGGTCGGGTAAATGATGAAGCAAAAGGATTGTTGGAGCCTGTTGGCATAGGCTTGAGAGATGCTTGGGTTGCAGTCTGGTTGCTTGTAGCCCAAGGATTATTCGTGCCTGTGGGAACTGTTACCTCAGGTTGCTGCTGAAAATTGATGGGGGATTGTTGAATGTAGGGGTTGAAGGTTGTTGGCTGAGGTTGAAGCTGTTGCTGTCCAAAGGGGTCAAGACCTATTGCTTGGGGGACGAATCCATTGGGATACCCATTTGGATAAAGGGAAGGTTCGGGTTGAAAGCCAGTAGGCTGAGAATGAAATCCAGTATACATATTTGATATGTAGCCTGTATGTTGTTGCATATTTGGATCTATGGGATTTCCTGCCCAGTCAACTTGAGTCTGCTGTTGATAACCTTGGTTAAATCCAGTGGGCTGAGAAGTTTGAATAGGATCATCATCGAACAAAGATGCAGCGTTCTGTTCTTCTAGTTCTCTACGACGTTGTTCTTCTTCCTCCTTACTAAGTTTAATTGCTTTGGCGAGATCTTCGTCTTCTGGTTCTTCTCTTTGACTTTGCCTCCTCTTACGATCTTCTTCCTCTTGGTATTTGCTTGCCTCTATTGCTAGCTTGTATTCAGCATCTTCCTCATCAGCTCGCTGCGCCCGATAGTTGCGACTTCGTCGCATAGAGTCATCGTGGGAGGGGCCGAATTCTTCAATTCCAGTTACTCTTGACTTCCAGTTTCTTCGATCGCTGCGCTCTCCTCGTAACCTATCCTCGTCTAGAATTAAAGATGTCAATTCTTTTGCAGACACACGAACTGTGTTTCAATCAGCTATGTTATTGATAGCCTGGTCAAGTTCCAAACCATTTTGGCCAACGTCACGACCATCCTCATCAACATACTGAAACTCTCTCAATGTCTTGATAATGTATATATTCTTGTGCGCCCAAGTAACTACCAGTTCTGACCCCTCATGTAGACAATAATCTAAAACTTTGAGAGCCTTTAGTACGTGTCTCCAATTTTTTCCTTTATCGTTCAAACGTTTGTCAATCATGTCCATGATTTCATAGAATTCATTCGGTCTAATCTGGGTCAGGTTCTAAGGTCTGGGAAATTGAGCATTGGCAGCTACGAACGAATTAAAGGTCATTTGTGCAATTTGACTCATTTCCGAGCCGGTAGGCCCCCATGGATCGTTACTTGTTGCTGGTTAAAGTCAGAAAGTTGAAAAATGCCTATTTTTGAGTAAGCTGCACCGTTTCGAACCTTTACCTGCACGCTTGAATATCCTTTGGTAACATTCTTGACACTTCGCATTACTTTCGACATTTTCGTATTTATTTAGGCCCTTGTAAGAGGTGACTATATGAGATGGTATGATTTTTAAAGATATAGAGTTGACACGCAGTCATGGAGTGATGACAGCGTTTGGATAGACGATCGCACGCGACCCAGAAATTTATCAAAAGTCCTATTAACACGACTGGGATTAACTTCTACTACCTTTTTTGGCAAGAGCAAAGGCGGTACTTGAAAGTTGGTGACGCCTATGAGCTAGAATGAGGAATATAATGGACGGAGTGATTCAGATAATAGCTCGTAATATCCAACCCGGGATAGCAAATAGGGTGCCACATCCACGGGTCACGTGACCATGTTTGATAAGGGTATTATATTTACATGACGATATTCAAATGTGACAAAGCGTTATACTGCAGTTTATGCTCTCAGTGCTTTTTCTCTTGATACATAAACGCCTCTGACTGAAATCATAGTTTGCTAGCAGAGGGATAAACTTCTCGCGCAGAACTCATAAATGTCTGTGCGTCATATCAAGAATCTTTATTAGTGATTCGTTGAGTTCCCGCAAACGATCACTCTGACACAATAAGTAGATCCTGGTTTATCTTTAGACATTGAACATAGAATCTTTCCCAAAGGTGTCCAGGTTAGTGTAGATACGCTTAAATTGATAGATACAAATTATTTTACTTCTTAAAATTAGTAGAGGACAGCACTATGCCTGTTAAATTGTTACATTCTGAAACGAATTTAGTCATCGCGCCATAATAGTTTTGTCGTTGAATTCAGGTATTTTTAGATAGGAAAGCGCCTTTTCCAAACGGCTCACGGTAATTAAAAATGGGTCAAAATAGCTATGTGAGCCTTGCAACTTTGTGCCCTCCTCAGACTTTGAACTTTCTAGAAGTTGTGATCCCTACGAGTGGCTATCTACAAAGTACCAATTATTTATATCGCATAAAAAATGTAACTATTTATCTGCTTCACGAGTATAAATGGGATGGCAAAGACTGAACACCTGTACGCGGTGTCCTACAAACTTGGGAGTGAAATATTTACCCAGAGCCAAGTTCAGTCAAACTTCGCAATTCCGAGTAAGTTGGCCCACGAAGTATTGATTAAATACTTAATACCAAATCAAAATTTTACTCCCAAAAAGATCTTTTCTCACCAAATCCTCACCAAGTATTCAATTGCGAGAGTGCAGGCGACACTGTAAACACTGCCATGGTCGGATGCTGCGGTGGTACACTGCCTTGGCCGATCTCCCAAGTAAGGTCTAGATAGCTCAAACACATATCCCACCTGAGACAGAAGACCGCTGACTTGAATTCGGCAAAATTCAACTACATTTCTCGCGGTGATTGTATTCGTCGATGACGAAGGCATGATTGAATAATCAGACGTTTTGAGAAGTCACTATGGTGGGTACCCATGAGTTGAATGGTGCAGTGGTACACCATTCGGGCCTTTCTTCCAAGTAGATACTGGGTAGCTTGAACACCTACCTTATTCGAGACAAGAGAAAGCTGGTTCGAATCCATTCAGACCCACACACCAGTCTCTCTCGCGGTGACATTGAACTTGTGGGATGATTAAAGCACACTCGGCTTGCCGCAGGTTTTTCACGCTTTTCCCTGTGGTGGGTATGCACGGAAGTGTCAATACGCCGTAAGGGTCAACTTCGAGTGGTATCTGCAAATGAAATCTGAGTGTGAGTGTTCTAAATGTCAAGTTGAGTCATCCTACTATAAGTACATATCTTCCGATAAAAACCTGAATGGGCCTCGAGGCGCCAAATCAGGATATTGAATTATATATATATATGTATATATGTATATATGGTGGGTACCCACAGAGAAGGGTCGACTATTTGTGTAAGCAAACACACCTCATAGTGGTATTTGCAAATGAAATCCAAAATATGAGTGTCTCTAACGTCAAAAGATTCATCCCTTATATACATAGCACTGATCATTTATCATAGCTAAAAAGCTGAATACACTTATATAATTTTAAAATCATAATATAAAAAGACGACATAGTGTTGGCTGGTCTAGATCGTTAAAGTAGATGTGTCGTCATTTGGGGTCACATGATAATCTTGACATTTTTTTTTTGCATCAGATTTTCATTGCGTATGCAGCTATCTAGCTATGACACAATATCAAAGAAAAGTACAGAATAGACGATTCAACTTAAAGGAAGAGCACTCATGCCTCAGATTTCATTTGCAAGTACCACTGCGAAGTTATGGTGGCTTTTTCTTCACCCCAAGTCAACCCTCATCCGTGAATACCTACCCTGGGGAACGTTGCTAGCCAAGATCAACAATATAGCAACGAATCCTGTGTACTCATGAACATAAGAACAACACAGAATCATATTACTCTTGACTGAATCATTACTATCGACCGTGAAACCACCCCATAGTCATTTCAACATATATCTTGGTTTAACTATTCTCCACATTTAGCTCATGAATATAAGGGATTACTAGGTCTTCTCTGCCCGAATTCCAAGTATAGTCATGCCTCAGTTAGTATACCCCTTGCACTGCCCACTCAACTACTCCCATCGAACAGTGCAACACTCACAAACCCTTGTTAAATTATGATTAATGAAGAGTCGCGTGTCATACATTTCTCTCTCTCAAACCAGTTGAGAGAGAGCCATTTATGGCTATAAGTTAGACTTGAGACTTACAGAAACCATTGTATAAGAGGCCCCTTATGCCGAAATAATAAATATATCTGAAAAAATAACTATCATCCTGACGCGTTCGGAGTGGCTGGGCTATGCAAATTTGTGCATAACTTAAAGAAGCTCTTTCTGTTTTGCTGACATTATTTTCATTCAATCGTTTATTTACGTCTCTGGGAAAATTAGAAGTTTTTTGAGGTGGTAGGAGAACCTGGATGGTAAAGTGAAGCAATTTGATGATGTTTTTATTGTACTACTTGAGTCTATGAATATGTAGCACATTGAGCTCCTCTCTGGCCCAGGCCACACCTTGTACAATGCTCCTTGCCTCTCATGTTTCTTGAAAGATCATTGATATATTGCCCGTGATGAATAGCCATTCAGCTCAGTGCTTACCCGTGGAATTTGGCCACCTTTTCCACGGAACCTTCTACCCAAAAAAAGGAAAAAAAAAAGGTAGCAATGGAAACTGCGTGCGCCGGAAAGTCTCCAAAAATCCTGCAGCCCCAACCAGGCGAGGCCTAGACACCGGGACCACATGAGGTGCGCATATTCATCTACATCTCCCTTCTTTGTAACAGTCGAGGCCGACTTGATCCAACCCGCCATATCTGTATCGAGTGCTAGGTACGCTCCGGAAACTCATCGGATGGCTTCTCCTCCGTGATCAAGGGTTGGTGACGAGCAGGGCTTCGACCCTCAAATCAGATCTGATCATGGTTAGCTTCATGATAATGGTGATAGGGGGATGTGCTTAGGGATGAAGACGATACAGACTGCGAAAGCGATTGGGAATCCTCATCGAAGTAAAAACTTTCTTGCTCAATCTCGGCTCTGTAGACTTTACTGTGAGGACTGAAGGTTCGTAGGAAACACCACTGACAGGTGTTGAGAATAGTTCCCCCCCCTGACGGTGAAAATTCGCTGTAACCTAGCATGACTTTTCAATCCTTATCTTGTAGTGGGGGACACTGCAGACTTATTAATAATAGAAGATTTCCATGCTAGGATTAAACTCAGTATTTTCTCTGTAGACTTAGCGGCTAGAGCTGAAAGCTAAAAGGAAACGCCGCTGACAGGTATCGGATTTCTCTCTCCATCAAAGGATAGGAATGCCTGTCGTGAGGATCAGATTCTTACCCCACATAGAGCTTTGCAGTGGAGTAGATGCTGCGCAAAATGGATGATCCTTCATAAATGGACTTCATGGTTGATCTATTCCTACGCCATATCACCTTATCAATAGATACTAGGAAAGCCGACATTGCTGACCGGAGCAGACTACCAACCATATAACGGACCGTCGAAATTCCTCTGAACCAGTCTCAATGAATTTGTCATGCCTCGAAGTACTCAGCTTTATAACAAGCTAGAGTTTTCACTTAAAAGTTATTAAAACAAAAGAGAATTTATTTATTTATAATAATTAGCGTCGGGCTCACCATTCTTCCTACATGGCAATCTAACAAGGGCCCAAAGCAGTTACAGAACCCCAAGCATATGATTATGTCTTGCCCCCAATGGTCAAATGGTAGAGCTGAGATCTGGAGACAAGCCAACGATCGATCCTACGAAGCGATGATAAACAATCCTGGAGATATAAAAGGGATAACAGTGGATCCTAAACCATGGTTGGATAGAGCAATTCCAGATGACAAAGGCGGTCGAAATGCTGCTGAGGGAAATGAAAAGGTCAAATAATGCTTGGGGCCAATAGAGATGATCTGGTTGGTTTACATGGATGGCACTGTATTGTAATTGCGCTTCCTGAAGAAAATATGTGAGAACTATGGACAACAAGTAGAAAGGTGTGGGAGGTTTTCACCATAAAGGTTTCCTCCCGGCTAAATATTATAGATTGTAGACACCTGCGTGGGCCATATGGCGCCAAATCAGGATAATTAAATCATATTCAAATAATTAACGTCGTGCCCGCGCACAGCACGTGAGGAGCTCACGTGCCGGTGAGCCTAGTGTAAGTAAAACTACCCGACGTGTTGGCGCCTGAACAGACCCAACAAAGCAAATGAAAGCTAGGATCTTATCATCCTCCGCTTCAAGATTAAATTATACATGGTTGCCAGTCTCCCTTCAACTCTCATGCTTTCAGATTGTATTGAATGAAGAATAAATTAAATAAAAAATATGGAAGGGGGAACTCAGTTGAATCACATGACTCTCTTTCGGTCAGACTTGTGTATTTCCGAAGAAATCTGTGACACGCACACAGCTATTAAATGCGTGAACGCCCTCCGCGGAAGACAAGAGAGAAATGAACTGTCACAGGGGCAACTAGTTAGGATGTAATCACGTGAAAATTATGG